GAAAGGACTCTGAAATTGCATCTAAAGTGCAATCAGTGAGAAATAGAAGAACAATAAAGAACAAAGAGAAAGGAGATAAAGTGAAGAGGTGCTAAGCGGAAGTACATAAAAGAATGGATAGAGAATTAAAACCTAATTTCTCAACAAATAGGTAAATTGATTTGTAAGTAAATGTCTAAGTCAAGCATTTGACTATAAAAGTCTTTGCAATCAAAGGTTAATACCCATCAATACTGAGATAAAAAGTAGAAACAGCCGAATTTAAATTAGTCTCACAAAGCAAGTATGGTGTAAGAGGTAAGATACTGCTCAACTGATGGAAAGTTACTTCAAAGACCACAAATATTTGTGAAAGAAAACAGATGTAGTAATGGATTTTTATGTTTGTTATTATTACTAGTTTTGGTTACTTTAGGCGTTGTTTAAGTTGAAGACCACGAATATTTGAAGTTATAAAAACAGTTGTAGTAATGGATTTTTATGTTTATTATTATTTTTGGTTACTTTAGGCATTGTTTAAGTTAAAGAGAACTTGACTCGTTTAAAGATAAAGCATGGCATCTCGATCAATCATTTCAATCATTTATTTCTGAATTAAAATTTTACATTCAAAGATGTTTACAAATAGTAAATTTACTGATATAAAGTAAACATCTAATAATGTTAATAATATCTAATTAAAATAATTATAATGCTAATTTTCACAATATATAATAATAATAATAAACTTACTTAATAACAATGTTAATAATAATAATAATGATAATAGTAAAAATAATAATAATAATAATAACAATGATAATAATAATAATAATAATAATAATAGCAATAATAACAATGTTAATATTAGTAATAATAGTTAAAAGTAGTTAAAAATAGTAATGTAAATATTTATAAAAATAACAATAAGCAATAGTAATGACAACAAAGTATATTCTAGAAATTAAAAAAAAACAATACTAAAGACAACAAAAATTGAATATAAAAATTATAAACATATTTTTTAAAAAACTATATTTTTTTAATAAAAAGTAGAATAAACTTGTTTTAAAGGTTGAGAATGAATTGAGAGTTTTTAGTTCATAAGGAAGGTTGTTTAAATTTTTAATGCTTTGATATTTTATAGATTTATGCTTGTAATTATGAGAGCGATGTTTAGAGACAGACATGTTTAAATTACTATTGAAAAAAAGGTGATAAGGAGTGTTGGTACTTTTGGAAAAGAAATTGATGAAAGTTAAAGGTAGGTTATTGTGTTGGTAGTTCCAGACATATTGACAGTTTAAGTTTGAATATAGTCACATTTTAACACTTGGGAAGTTAGGTAGAGCACATTAGGATTAAAATTAATATTCTGGAAAAAAAAATTTTTTTGTTCGGGAGGTAGGATAACCTAATAAGAGCTTGTTAATGGGACTGTCCCCATATTTGGTACGCATGTCTAAGATGTGAGCCAAAAATAGCATTGTATATTTTTATCTAGAGTTTCTCAAAATTAACATAATTGCAAATTTTGACCAACATCCCATAAGATCTACTGAACGCCACTGAAGCCACTGACTAGGCTGGCAAGATCATGGTTAATGTGTTTGTTAATTTTTTTAAAGGATTTATTAATTAGCATTAGATTAGTATCATCAGCAAAGTGGTAAACAATAATGGATGTATGAAGATCATAAATATAAAGAAGGAAAAGTAATGTTCCCAATACTGAACCCTGAGGAACACCATTAGAACAATATACAAGTGTAGATTTTGAGTCATTGATAGAAAAAAATTGTGTTCTTTTGAATTTATCAAATGTTTTTAAAATGAAATTCATAGATTTATTAACATCATTATTTTTTTAATGGAGTGTTATCAGTTGATATCAGAAATTTCTTTAATAAATATACTTTTATTAAATGCTTTGAAGCAATGTCTGTAAGTTTTTACTTTTTTGGGGTGGTTGGGTATGCCAGGAATGCAAATAAATTGTTCCATATGGTCTGAAATTGAAATCGTAAGGTTACCTGAGAATTGATTAGTTTAGTGAAAGTTTGTGAATATGTTATCAATGAGCATTTTTGATGTAGCTGTTATGTGTGATGGTAAAATTATAGAAGGACTTAGTGAGCAAGATGTTAAAGAATCAAGGTATGTAGAAACAGGGTAAGATTCATTGTGACTTAATAGTTCCATACTAAAATCACCCATTAAAAAAATCTTTTTTTTTCATTAACTTAACTTTTCAAGTAGAGTAGTTAAGTGAGAAGTAAAATCAGGTTGATTCATTAAAGGATGACAATAAATGCAGCTAATTATTTTATTTGATTCACAAGGTTTTGCAACTTTAACAAAAATAGACTCTAAATATTTAGAAGAGTAAATCATTAGATCATTGCAAACAACATAGTTTACATTTGAGCATAAGTATTAAAGTGCTCCACCTTTTTTAGCCTCAGCAGGACAATGCTCAATATTAAACTTTACATATATTTGTTTATGTATATATCAGTTATATTTGTATTGTTTATATATAAATTAGATTCTGTAATACCTATTGCTAAGGGAAAATTATTAAGAGAGCTGATAAGACTACAGAGTTTGTCAATGTACAATGGTAGAAAAGCAATGTTAAGATGAATGTATAGTTCTGAATTGGAAAGCATATTTTTATTGAGATCAATGCTGCCATAGTATTTGCAATTAACAGAATTGGGAAATTTATTTAGATCTTTAAATATATATTTATGATTAACTTGGAGTCTCAAAAGTGTTTAATGAACTAGTAGATATATATTCTTGCATAACAATGTTGACTTAAGCTCCGAGTTAGAAATCAAGCTAAAGGCCATACTCTTAGATAAACAGCTATGACATACAAATCTGACAAGTCATTCAAAAGAAGATTATAAGAGTGTGCATCAATATGGTTACACTTTGCATGGACCCATGAGTTACAAAGATCACATTGGATGGCTCTTTGATTATCAGTTATATTTTTATGACAAGTGTTGCAGAGAGATTTAAATGCCATTATATTTAGAAAGAATATATATGTGTACATGCAGTATTAACTAGTTAAAGTGACTAAAGTGAGATAAAGAGATAAGTGTGAGATAAAATTAAAAAAAAAAAAAAAAGCAAAGTAAATAACTAAATTTAATAATTTAAAACTTGGGTAACCATTGGGGTGAGTAACCAAAAAAAGTTTTCATAACAATATAATGAAAATAAGAACAATGATAGAAAAAAGCGCTTAACACTAAAGAAAACTAAAAGCTAACAGTTATAAAATTAAACAATCAAAATGAAAACTTGATCAATTTCGAACTAATATTAAAAGTAACTATGACAACAAAAAATATGGAATATAAAAAAACTAATAATACTATAACAATATACTGCATTAATAATGTATTATTATAATAATATAACTACTGTTAACTGCTACCAATGATAATATTATTAACAAAGATACTAAAACAATAATAAATAAAAATAAATCAGTATTAAATAAGTTTATAAGAATATAATATCAAAATATATGTAATAAATAACTAGGTATCAAACAAGGACTAATAATACAATTAAAAAATAATTACAATTAACTATAAATAATATAATATGAGAAAAAAAAAATAATATAATGACTGAAAAATAATAACTAATGAGTTATTGAATCATGATTACAAATTATATCATAAAGAAAAAAGAAAAATTATAAAAAAAAAAAAAACAATCTTCAAGCTCTACTTTTGCTTTTTCTTCTTTCTTTTTTAATTGATTATTTAATTTTTCTTATCTTTTTTTTCTTTTATTTGTTTACTTTGCTCTTGGTCTTTTGTTTTCTTTTGTTTTATGTTTTATTTTATTTAAGTTTATGAAGTGTTCTTTTTTTTTAAATTCAAAGTTCTTTTTCTATTATTTTATATATATATATATATATATATATATATATATATATATATATATATATATATATATATATATATATATATATATATATATCAGCCCTTGGAATTAGGTTAGGCAATTGGCAATGCCAACCTAATTTCCAACCTTAGAGTATTTAAGATTGGCAAAAAATTGCTGACCTCAATTCTATTTTTATGGTAAGACCTTTGTATTTAATTCTTTTTTGCCAACCCGATGCCAACCTCTAAAAGATTGAGGTCAGCAAATTATTGCCAAATTTATTTTTCCTAATTCGGAGGGTTGATATATATGTATTTTTTCCTTTTTGAATGATTTTTTGTGTGCATTTTTGCTTCAAGTTAATTTATATGATCGTTGATGAATTATTTGTGCTTATAAAATAAATATTTAACATTTTTATATATAGTTTGATTTTTTTTCTATATTTTTTATATTTTTCTTCACTTTTCTCTTTTACCATTATAAAAACGCATCGGCCATTTGCAAAGACCTTGCAAAGAGGTCAAGCAATGAGCTATGCATTTGCCTCAGGACATTGATCAAGGTATGAGGCTTTTCAATTTTTTTATAAAGTCTGACATGCTGGTCTTCTCCATATACTTTATGCGTAATCTACTCATTTTTTTATATGTTGTATCAGGAAAAGTATTGAAAGTTATTGAATTTTTCTTTTCTTATGACATTAATAGTCATTCTTTATAAATAACATTCTTCTTCACCACTAGTACTACTAGCTTCCATTTTCAGTTCCATATTGTTTCTTATTTACATTTTGCACAACTGTTAGTGCAATATGTCAACAATATGAATACAGCTATTGCTGCAATATAGAAATTGTTTCTTAGAACTTAATTCAAATTATTTTTTCATTATTGTTTATTAAATAATTACACATGAGGTAATAAGCATATCCATAGTTTTTTGTTTTATAAAAGTTTAAGAATTTATAATACCTTAGCTGTCTAAATTGTCATTTGCTAAGAATTTTGATGACACATAATAAAAAAATATATGAATATTAAAATAAGTTTCTTTTTTTTTTTAATCCTTTTTATTGGTAATCAATTCGCTGCTTTTAGATAATTGACACAGGAGTGATTTTACACAAAGGAGCATTCCTACGAAACTCATGGAACAAACTTGATACATTTGTTTTTATCTGTAGTTTACTTGCATTAATTATAGAGTATGTGTTCAGGTTGTTGTTTTTTTGAAAGATTTTTAAAAAAATTGATATTAAAGTTTAAATATTCTTATTTAAAATAGTTCAGAATCATCATTTCTTAAAATTCTTCATGTGTTGCGAGTTCTTCGACCAATCAAAGCTATTCAAAAAGTCAAGAAACTTAAAGTTAGTTTAAAAAATAATAATATATTTTTTAATTTTTGATGGTGTAAAATTTAAAGTTATTTACAATGATTTAAAAAGTTATTTTTTTTAAATCTATTTATTTCTCTTTATTTTTTACTATACATATCTCAATACTTTAACAAAAAGTTTATTTTGATTTAAAAATATAGTTAATAAATTATTACTTGTTCAAAGAAACTTTACCCATTCAAAATCATTCAAACTTCATCATAACCATCACCATCATCATCACCATCATCATCATCATCATCATCATCATCATCATCATCATCATCATCATCATCATCATCATCATCATCATCATCATCATCACCATCATCATCATCATTATCATCATAATGACCTTAAACATATAAATGCTGGATTAAACTAATCCTGCAAAATTGGTGTTCAGGGTCCATATTGCAAAAATCCCACACAATTTTGTTCAGAATCCAAATTGCAAAATTAAATACTGCAAAGCAGAAAGTTTCAGATTTTTTCTAATTGATTTGCAAAAATAAAAATCTTAAAAATTTATTTAATATTAAATAATACGTTTAAGGTATCATTTATAAGAATATAAAATTCAAATTATTTATCATTTTTTCTGTAAATTTTATTCTAGAATTTAGTTTGAATATTATATACAAAGTTGACAATATGCATTTGTTTATCTATGAGAAATGCAAAGTGGATTTGTTTACATATATATTTATATATTTTTAGCCTTATTATTTTAGCTAGTTTTTCAATGTATGGTTTACTCATTAAAAAATGTTGCATTTGTTTTGATTATTACATTTTTGATGTTGTTCATCTTTGCTTGTATTGGAGTGCAGCTTTTTCAGGTTTTCAAACATTTTATTAATATTTTATTAAAAGTGTTTTTTATTATCTTTTGTAATTAAGCTCATAAAAATTTAAAATATAAAAATTTGTAATTAAGCTCTTAAATATTATAGGGGAGATTTTATTATTGCAGTGATGAAAGCAGAAGAACAATAAGTGAATGCAAGTATGACATCTTTTAAAAGTATTAAATAATAACAATTGTATTAAAAAAAAAAAAAAAATGAAGTAATTTTTTTGTAGAGTACCTATTTTTTTTACTTCTTGTTACATTTTAGTTATGTATTTAAAAAGTCTTACTTTCTCAGGATTTTTCTTTGTAACAGTAACTAAGTAACTTAATTGCTTTTGTTAGTTCAACTGTTACTAAGTTACTTTTTTTATTCAACTGCTACTAAATTACTCCTGTTAATGAATAATAAGCATAAAATTATTTAATAAAACGTAAAATTATTTAATAAATTTTTTTTTGTTTTTTTAGTAACTTTTTTTAGTAAGTCTTGCATTTAACCAGAGCTGACAACACCAAGGGGCTGGAAACTTTTTTTTTAAAAAACCTTTTTTTTTTTTTTTTTTTTTTTTTTTAAGAAAATTCTAAATAAAGAAGAATTATTTTTTAAATTGACAATTGTGCCCCCCCCCCCCACTTACACACACACTTCGAAACCCGTTTTGTTGGCCCTGTTAACAAAAATATGTTGAGTAGAACCTTGCATCCATTAAGTTTTGTTTGCTTGATTTTTTGGTTAATGGTTTTAATGCAAAAAATTCATTCATTTTATTTTTCATTTAACATTATTTTGGTATTTTATTATTCATTTATCATTTATTTAAACAACTTTTTTAAAAATACAAATGTTATTGCAACTTAACATTTTTATATTTTAATGTTCTTTCATAATAAAGTTTCTTTATTATTATATGATAATGTTCTTTCATAATGAAATTTTTTTTATTTTTAAAAATGCTTTATACATACACTCATTCATGAAATAATGAATGTTTACAAAAAGATATGTAACCATATTTTCTTGTAAACATCCCTTTCCAGAAAATTTTTTTTTTTTTATTAAATCATTTTTTAATGCAAACATTAACCAAATCATTAAGTTAATTTCTTATTTTACATTTTATATGTTCTATAGAGGTCAATATTATATATTTGAATCAAAAAAAAGTATAAATTTCTAATTTTACATTTTATATGTTTTATAGAGGTCAATATTATATATTTGAATCAAAAGAAAGTATAAATAAAGTTCAACCACAAGTAAGATTTTTTTATCATCTTAGGAAAATGTCATTATCATTTTATAGAATAATTTTTAAATAACCAATCATATATGGAAGAATATAGAATCATATCGATTCTAGTTTTGATAACTTTTAGTTAAACGATTGATATAGGAGAGATATTATTATAATTTCAATAATTTTTAGATAAATGATCGTATTTGGCGGAGATATGATTCTAATTTTGATAATGTCTTTGATGCTATTTTAACACTTTATATATCTTCAACAGAAGATAATTGGCCAACGTAAGTTAGATTTTTTTAAATTTTAATGTTTTAATTTTTTTTTAATAGCATTATAAGATTTCATAAAAAACTTCTGGGCAAGGAATCATTGGTGTTAAAATAATACTGATGAATTTTTAGCCTAATGCAAAATGGTATGGATGTTACTGGAGTGGATCTTGGTCCTTTAACGAAAAATAGTTCCTATATGGCTATGTATTTTGTAATGTTTGTCGTGATTTTTACATTTATGATCATCAATATATATATTGCACTTATAATTCTGACATTTCAAAAACAAGGTGAAAAGCAGATTCATGGAGAACTTGATAGAAATCAAGTAAATTTTATTTCAACTAAATTGTTTAGATAAAATTTTGTTTAGATAAAACATTTTTGTAAATAAAAAAAAATTTGATTCAATTTTTATAGTAATTAGTTTTTAATTAAATTTAAAAACTAAAATAAAAAAATATATGATTTTTTGTTTTAAATTTTTTTACAGAGAGATTGTCTTGACCATGTCCTTAATGCCAAACCTCGTGAGCGTTTTATGCCAAAAAATAAATCATCGATATCATTTCGAGTGTGGCTTATTGTGGATTCAATTCTCTTTGATTATTTTATAATGTTACTAATAGTTTTGAATTGTATACAACTCATGATGAAGGTTTGTTTTGATTTATGTCTATGTGTTTTATGTCATCACAGTTCTTTTTTCACAGAATTTTGTGTCAGACTCATGTTCTCATTATTTCTAAAGATAAAAATGAAGAAAAGTGGTTTATAGAAATTTTTTTTTTGTAGATTTAGATTTTTTTCACAGATTCATATGAATAACTACCTACATCAGCTGTACATTAAATAAAATTATTTTATTAAATAAATTCTTCTTTTGGAGTATTTATATGATTAGATTCAGAAGGGTTTATCATTAATAATGTCATTTATCTTTATAAGGGTTTATCATATCATATCAGAAGGGTTTATCATATCATGTCATTTATCTTTATAAGTTTTGTGTTTTGTTTTTGTTTTTTATGCATGTTTTTTTTTTTTTAACTTTTTTTTGTTGTTGTTGTTTATGTCTAACATATCAATGTATGGTTACATCACTGAGTAAATGACTAAATTATATCAATGTATGGTTACATGATTGAGTACATGACTATATTATATCAATATATGGTTACATGAAAAAGTACATGACTACATTGTATCAATGTATGATTACAAGACTGAGTACATAATTATGTTACATCAATATATGGTTACATGACTGAGTACGTGGCTATATTATATCAATGTATGGTTACATGAAAAGTACATGACTACATTGTATCGATGTATGATTACATGACTGAGTACATGATTATGTTACATCAATGTATGGTTACATAACTGAGTACATAACTGCATTATATCAATGTATGGTTACATGACTGAGTACATGACTATATTATATTAATGTAAAAGAAGAATTAAAAATGAAAATAGTGAACTATGAGGTTAAATTAAACATGCTAGTTCTTAACTTTGTAAACAGGGTTTTTATTAATTACTTATATCTAAACTAACCAATTTCTATAGGTTCTTTGTATAAATTTTGAAATAACTATTATCTGATCTATTATAATATAAAATATACCTCAAAAAAAAAATGCATGCAAAAAAAATATATACACTAAAGAGCAAGTTCTTCTATTATTATTTTTTTTTTAATTCGGATTCACTCCCAAAAAATGCTGCAGACAGTCACTATTAAATTGGGAGTTACAAGAAAACAAAGAATAAAATTAAAGAGCCAGGAAAACATGATGGGAAAAGATGGGAGAAAGTTCCAAAGGGTTAATGTGCGTTAATAAAAAAAAGTTTTTAGAGCATGCAGGGACAGATACAGTAAAAGAATGAGACTTTGTTGAATGACTCAAGCGAGAATAAGTTTTTGGTTAATTGAACTAGAGTAGATAGCTCCTTTGAGCAGCAAACATGTTGCAGAAAAGAAAAAGAGATGCAACTTTACAACAATAGGAGAGAGGTTCAAGCTTGAAAGATAGGGTCCAATTATATTTACAATGCGTTTTTGGACCTTGTCTAGAAAAAAAAGAGCATCATTAGACAAACTAGCCCAAATATGACAACATTATTCCATACAGGGATAAATAAGAAATTTGTAGAGCTAGAAAACAGAATCAGGAGTGAGAAATTGGCAAGCACAATAAAGAGATGCAACCTCAGAGGATGCTAATTTAGCAATCGATTGTATGTATGGTTTTTACAAGAATTCAGTAGTGAAAAATAATCTATGAAGACGTAAATTAGAGAACTCAGTGAGATCAATGCCATTCATCAATAAAGAAATGTCAACAGTATTGCAATAGTTGTTTGCAGTAAATAACTGAATTGTGTTGAAGTTAAAATTGGCAAGCCACTGTAAGCCTCAGTCTGATACAAAAGTTGGATCAAAAAGAAAAGATTTTTTGTCAAGAAAGGAGTATAAAGTTGAGACATCAGAAAATAGTGTCACTTTAGATGTAAGGTTGTTAGAAAGATCATTAGTGTAAATAAGAAACAAAACAGGACCAAGGATAAAACCTTGAGGTACCCCAGAAGTTACTGAAAATGAAGAAAAGTGTTGGCCTTCAAGGATAACGTGAATAAAGCAGTTAGAATAAAATGATTTGATAATCTCAAAAACTATCTCAGAAGTAACACCATATGAATTAAACTTATAGAAAATACCAGCATGTCAAAATTTATTGAAAGATTTTAGATGTGAGCAATAACCCGTTGCCTCTCTGCCTTCATTCATTTAACTCCAAAGTTAACTGCCTGCACCCAACCTTTAAAAATGCAATAACTGTGGCTATCCAAAAAAGAATTTAAAAAAAAGTTGAAAAAGAATTGCAATAGACTTAATTGTTTACTGAGTTTTGTTTCACCAAAAAAAATCACAAGTGACAACTCAATCTCTAGAGCCTCTTAATGACTCATTTCAAAAATAAAAATTATTTACTTTTCACTTTTTAAATTGTAATCATTAGTTGCTGTTTTAAATTAGATTAAGGTCCTTTAATTACTTTTTAATATTTTTAATATTTTTTTAATTAAATGAAGGTTCTTAAAAAACTAAAAAATTGATTTTTATATATTTAAATGCAACTCAAAGTTCTCTAAAACTTATAAAAAAGAAAAATTCTAAAAATCCTGTAAAAAAAAAATTAAAACTGAAGCTATTTAATTTGGTCCATTTTACTCTACATCAATTATACTCTATATTAAATAATTTTAAGTTAAAGAATTATTAGTAATAAAATATTTATGAATAAAAAATTGTTAAA